CAAATGTTAATTCCATCCCAATGTTGAACGAAATTAACTTCAAGCAATGAAAGAATAATGTTAGACTTGTGCTTGGAGTTATGAATTTGGATTGAGTTTTACGGAGTAATCAACCCGATCCGATTACTCCTAACAATAACCCAGAAGAAAAGAATAAGTTTGAAAGATGTGATCAATTAAACCGTATGAGTATGTTGGTTATGAAACAGGCCATTCCAAAGATTTTTCAGGGCACTATGTCTGATGAGATTACAACAGCTAGAGATTTCCTTCATTCGCTAGAATAACGTTTTGCCATAAGTGATAAGATCGAGGTATATACACTTCTGTCAACTCTTGTTTCATGAGATATAAAAGAAATGGAAACATCAGAGAGCACATAATGGAGATGTCACATGTGCATGCAAAGCTCAAGATACTTAAAGTGAAATTATCAGAAAAAGTACTTGTGTACTTTGTTTTCATTTCTTTTCTACCATAGTTCAATCATTTTAAGGTGACATATAACTGTCAAAAAGAATCTTGGAATATGAATGAGCTCATTTAATATTATATTCAAGAGGAAGAAAGACTCAAGTCTAAGAGGACAGAGAGTGCTCATTTCGCAGTGATCTCAAAGGATAAGAAAAATAAGAAAAAGAAAACAGGTAAATCTGTTACGATTTCAGTACAACCGAAGAAGCGATAAAGGTCTAGACCGAAAATGTTTGTTTCTTCTGTAAAGCTCCGGAACACTAGAAGAAGCAATGCACTAACTATCATTCATGACGCACAAAGAAAGATATACTTCTTAATTTTGTTTTTTTAGGTTAATTTAACTTTTGTACCTACACACACCTAGTGAATAGATTCTGGTGCCACAACTCACATTAGTGGGTCTATGCAAGGTTGCCTCCATTGCTGTAAGCCAAGTGATGGTGTCAGATTCATTTATGTGGACGATGATAAACTTTCAAGGTGGGAGTAATTGGCAAGTTTAGATTGTTGTTAAGGACTGTATTTTATTTGGATTTAGAAAAGACTTTTATTGTACTGTCATTTAGACGAAATATGATTTCTATTTCTGTATTGAAAAATTTTGGTTATTCATGTTCATTTGAAAATGAAAAATTTAGTCTTTTTCTTAATTTAAATCTAGTTGGTTTTAGCTTTTTATTAGCATATGAAAATCTTTATTTGCTTGATACAATTGCTTCTTATAATAAATCCTTCCATGCTAGTACAAGAGGTGTGAAGAAAAAATTAATGAAGGAGAATTCTGCTTCATTATGGTACAAGAAATTAGGTCACATCTCCCAAAGGAGAATTGAGAGATTTGTGTCATATGAAATTCTAGATCCCCTTGATTTTACAGATTTTGACATATGTGTCCAATGTATTGAGAAAAAACAAACAAACCTTAAGAGATTAAGTGTCAACAAGGCTATGGACATATTAGAACTCATTCATACAAATATTTACGGATCGTTCCTTACGACTTCTTGGAATGGTAAATAAAATTTCATAACATTCCTATATGATTATTCAAGATATGACTACCTACATCTCATTCATGAGAAGTTCTAGTTCTTGGATGTGTTCAAGAGTTTTAAAGCAAAAGTTGAGAACCAACTCAATAAAATGATTAAGGTTGTTAGATATAACAGTGGTGGTAAATACTATGGTAGATCTTATGGATTAGGTGAACGGCGTCCAAGGTTGTTTGCTCGATTCCTAAGGGAATGCAGTATCGTCCCACAGTACACGATGTCAAGTTCTTTTAGCATGAATGGTGTTGCTGAAAGGCAAAACAAAGCACTTAAGGATATGATGAGGAGTACGATTAGTCATTCTTCCTTACTTGAATCACTCTGGGGAGAAGCATTAAAGACCATAACATTTACTTAATAGAGTTCCAACTAAAGCAACTACAAAGATCCTTTATGAGCTTTGGATGGGCAAGAAGCCTAGTTTAAGACATTTGGATATTTGAGGATATCCAGCTGAGGCTAGGCCTTATAGGCCACAGGAAAAGAAATTAGACTCCAAAATTGTTAGTTGCTATCTTATTGGTTATTTTGAACAATTCAAGGGTTATAAGTTTTATGATCCCACTGTTAAGATAATTTTTGAAACGAAAAATGTCTAGTTCTTTGATAATGTTGAGTTTACAAGGAGAGAAAGAATTTGAGACCTTGTCTTTAAAGAGGAATGGGTC